AGAAGGTCAGGGTCAGGGTCCAGGATGACATGGATGAGAGGACGGGCAAGCGGGGGGTCAAGATGGAGCTTGTCACGGCATAAACTAGGACGAGAGGTTGCAAAACAAAAATACCAAGCTTGGGCTGTTCTGTATCACTGAAGCATTGCTCATCCTCGCATGCCACTTGTGTCCCATGTTGAGAACTATCCAAGATGGTCAGATGTATGAACTGATGCCGCTGACGGCCAGGGTCCCTGTCCCTCGCGTTGTCCCAGCATTCAACTGCGGTAGTTCACCCAACCCAAGAGTAACCATTCCGTGATCCCCTTCCGCATTTCCGTATCTCCGAGCGGCATGTCCACCACGTGGTGCCCTGCCAACCCTGTTTGACAAGGAGGGGTATCCTCGTTACCCTCCCTCCTCAAGCCTCAGCAGGCTGTGGACTACCCTGAGTGCGGCCAGGTCAACGTTACTATACGCAAGGGGAAGCGTGTGTTCAGGCCTCACCGTCAGGGCTGCATCTGTAGCGCGGTCTTCAGGGCGGAAACAGTCAGGTGGACGTGCTATGCCTGCCACACGTGCTATCCCTGGATCCTTTTTTCGCCAGCTACTCGCGCATAATATTGATCCGCCAGAGCAAGGGGCGGTCCACTGCAGTCTAATCCTCAGGGCTGCATCTGTAGCGTCTCTCGCATGCCAGGACTACCCAGGTTGAACGTGCCATCATCCCCCTCGCAGAACACGGCATCCCTGGAGCCTCTAGCTGGTGAGCTTCAGGCGGAAGGTTACCCCTTCGCCCATGATCTTCACCTCCGAGCACAAAGGGCGGACTACTGTCGTCCCCAGCGCGCTGCATCTATCGTATTGCCGTTCATGCCAGGGACACACCAGACGAACGTGCCGAACCCCCTCAAAACATGGAACCCCTGAGACATTAAGCTGGCAATCTTTCAAATGGCACCCTCCCCCCCACGATGTTCACTTGACGGTACAAAGGGCGGGCCGAACTCGTCGTGAGGACTGCGACTATGGTGTTACTATTCATGCCATGGACATGAGCTCGCTACACGCAACACGCGTGCTGTCATCCCTGGAGTACGTAGCTGGCGAGCTCTCGAATGGCACCCTTACCACCCCCTCCCATGGTGTTCACCTAGTATGACAACCGCCGAACTTATCTCCTACCCTACTTTAAGCTGTATCTATAGTGGTCCTGACCCTGCCAGGAAGACCCCAGGTGAACGCAGCATATCCCTCACACGGCAGATATTGTTGAGTCCCGTGGCAGGCGGAACCCCTTTGCGCATAATGTTCATCTACCAGCACAAAGAACAGTCCAATCTCGCCTTCACTTGACCGTCCATAGCGTCGCTTTCTCACACCAGGAACACCCCAGGAAAGGAAAAGAAAAAAAAACGAGGTATACCTGACCCCTCTCGCAAACCAAACCAAGGACATCGTGGTCTGTCAACGTGAAGCGGTTTATCTCCAGGGGAAAATAAAACACAATCCTAGAAGCTGGTCTTGCAGATCACGCCAGGTGTGTGCGGACGGCCCCTTGTGGGGCTCTACACGTCCGATGAGGCTCACCATGTACTGTGTAGCCCCCTTCGACCCCCCCTCTTCCTCCAGCCAGACGCCGTATCACAGCCGGGGAAGACGGAGGGGAAAGTTCCGCGAGTAAACAGGCGGTGCGGAATGTCGGGCAAGCGCCGATAGGAGCCGGCCCTACGGCGGTGGGGGAAAAAGGGGGGGATAAGGGGAGATGTGAACAATGGACAATAGTTGGTGCAACGCAGAGTCCCTGACTGAGCTATATGGCATGGTGCCTGTCGATCTGAATACGACGCTGATCGACACTAGGTTGTGATCATGCAGTGTTGAGGTCAATAGCTTTTGCAAAAAAAGGCAAGGGGGGGGCTTAAGAGGAAGAAGGGGGGGGGGGCTTTGCGAATACATATAACTGAAGTAGTGTTATGAGCCAGGGGGAGGGGTTGGTGAGAGGTGGAGAGGGTGGTTTAACCGAAAATGGTATCCGTTCGAACACCTGTTTTTGACTTTGTCCCCAACGATCATGCTGCGCACCCTTCACCGCGGGGTTCGTGGGTACAAGGCAACACGACGCAACGCACAAATGCAACTCGGAATGATCCGGCAATACGGTTGAGACGATTCGTGTCCGCCGCGATGGGATGCAAGGAGCTTCATTGCAGGATCGGAGTAAGGCCGTGGCGTGACATTGAGCGATTCGATCCTGCACAGTCCGGTAGGTAAACGGCAGCGGTTAAGTTTTCCCGTTTTACCTTGGGGCCGGGCATGATCCTCCTTCCAGGAAAAGAGATTTCTTTTCTGATACGCCTTCCTCTGGGACGTGAAGTGATGAGAAGCGTAAGGAGTACAACGTCAGTGTAGGCTGTTGGCAGGCTTGGAGGCTGGAAACGAAGTAGAGGACTACATAGACAAACCACACTCAAGGCAAGAAAACAGCGGCTCAGCATAAAGATCGTGACTTGTATTCGCCCCTTTTGCCATGCCCTAAACGCCAATAAACCCAGCAAACTCTGCACCATCTACCTGGGTATCAACAAAACAAGCAGCCTCCACATTAGGAAGGCACAACTACTGCTCCATGACTTCGTCGTCAGCACCGTCATCGCCCCAGAGACCCTCAATCTTGAACTCCTTGGCCCACTCCGTGACGACTGTCTTCTGGTCCGGCGCCGCCATGTCGTCAGCGACAACGGCATCAGCATCAACGGGTGCGTTGGCGTCGGCGACGGCGAGCACGGGCGGCTCAGTCCAGCCCTGAATGCGGCCGTCGCGCCAGTCGGTGACGACGGTCATGGCGGCAGAGTGCAGGTTGGGCACACCGCCGGGGCCGAGACGTCCGCGCTTGCGGGCGACCTGGACGAGGAAGTCGGTGGTGGGGTCGCCGCCGGTGCGCAGCAGGGCCGGCAGGCTGTAGACGTCGGTGAGCTTCTGCATCAGGTCGTCCGAGGACGACAGGCGCTTCAGCAGGAGAGTGACGGCGGGGACGGGGTCCTCGATCTGGCGGGGCGGGACGGCGTTGAGGAGGACGAGATGGGCGAAAGCCTCGGCAGCGTTCTTCAGCGACACGAGGCCGCCCGTGGTCGAGGTCGAGGCCGAGGGGAAGACGATGCCGGGCGAGTCGAGGAGGGTCAGCTTGCTGTCAATCTTGACGTTGCGGATGCTCTTGGTGACACCAGCCTCGGCGCCGGCGGGGCAGGCGCTGCGGTTGCCGCTGCTGTAGCGTCCGAGGAGGGCGTTGATGACGGAGGACTTGCCGACGTTGGGGTAGCCGATGACGCCGACGGAGACGGCGCGCTTGAGGTTCTTGGCAGCGGCGTACGACTTGAGGGCGCGCAGGAGGTCGCTGGCCGTCTTCTGGCCGGTGAGCTCCTTGTGGTTGAAGGTGTGGGCGTTGGGGGCCGGGTTCGAGGCGCGCAGGGGCATGGTGGGGAAGAAGCGGCGGAGGTGGGTGAGCCAGGCCTTGAGCGTCTTGGCCGGGATAAGATCGATCTTGTTGATGACGAGAATGAGGCGCTTTCCGCCGGCGGCCGCAGCCATGACGGCGCGCTCGACGTCGCGGGAGCGGGTGCCCTCGGGGTCGCGGGCGTCGAGAACGTAGAGGATGACGTCGGCCTGCTCAACAACCTGCTTGAAGATCTTGTCGTAGGCCTTGCGGGACGTGGCATTCTTGAAGGTAGGGTCGACGACGTTTCTGGTATCCTCTTCGTCGTCGTCGTCGTCTTCATCCTCGTCCATGTCTCCGCCTTCGTACTTCTCGGCGGCCTTGCGCGCCGTGGCGAGGAGGGCGGCCATGGGGTTGGACTCGTCGAGCTCGCCGTCCCCGTCCACGTTCATGCCGTCGACGTCGCCATCCTCGACGTCGACGGGCATGTTGGCAGCGTCGATGCCATCCTGGCCGAGGACGCCAGACTTGGCAGCCTTGGCCATCTCACGCCGCTTCAGCTGTTCCTCCTTCTTGCGCATGCGCGTCTCCTCAATCTCCTCGAGAACCTTCTCCTTGAAGGGGTAGAGGTTGGGGATGCCGGGATCCTTCTTGAGCTTGGAGCGCCATTCTGGGTTCTTCTTGCCGAGCTTCTTCTCCTTGCGCTGCTTCGCGGCCGAGGCCTTCTGGATCTTGTGGCGGAGGCGGACGGGCTGCCTCTTGGAATTAGGCCCTGCCAACGGTGTTCAGGTTAGCCGGGGAACGGGGGCAGCTACTTGACACAATCGACAGAAGGGGGGGAACAAGAAAGAACGTACTCTTGGGCTTGTTGATCGCGTTGGCCATTGCAAAGGTATATGGCGACGATCTGTAAGTGTCGTTGGTGGAATGAAGTATCGAGATGTCCCAAAATCGACGACATCCACGTCTGGAAAGCGCCTGCCAAAATTTCCACTGGACTGGCACCTGCCGCTCTCGAAAATTTAGTGGGCAGGTTTGTTCTGCCGCACCTCACCGCTCCGAGTCCCCCGCCCCTTCCCGTCTGCCTTCACCGCACACACATACCGTACACCGCATACCGACGACAGCGGCCAATGCTCACCGGCTACCGAAGGCCAGGAACGGCAGCCCCGCGATTCTTCATTTCTTCATGTACCGGCTGTAACGTTTTGTCTTATCCACTCGTAAATCTCCAATATGTAAAATGAAAAAAACTCCGACCACGGACTTCCCAATCAGGAAATGCCTTCCATCATGAAATGTCAACGACAGCTCAACGCTTACCACGACTCACAAAAGGGCGTACGACTCAACCTTGTGCTTGCGATACTTCATATCTGAAAAATCAAATCATCATCCAATTCAATTTTTAGCATCAGCCCCCCCCCCCCCCTTCACAGATCGTCGATCGTCGGAGCAGCCGGCCCCCGAAGAAGTGTCCCATCATTATCCCTGTTACGGACGCCCTATCTCCCTGCGTCCGTCTCCAAGACCATCGTCCGACCCAAACCTATACACGCCTCTGACACGCCATCACGAACTTATCATGGGCTCCACGGCAACCGGCGTCAATGCGTCCTTCACGGCGGCCCCAGAGCGGGCCACCTTTGACGGCTTCCTGTTCGACATGGATGGCACCATCATCGATTCGACGCCGGCAATCGAGAAGCATTGGCACAGGTGAGAGAGACTTTCCCCCGGCCAACATGACCTCCCTTGCGTCTGCATCTCAGTCGAACCCAGCACCCTCTCTCTCTCTCTCTGTTGCCCCTGCGCGTAGACCATACCTTGCCCCCCCCCCCCGGAAACCACCCCGTCTGATGCCCCGCCGTCTTCGGCTCCCTTGCAGCATCGGCCAGGACATTGGTGTTTCTGCCAACGTCATCCTCCAAACCTCGCATGGTCGCCGCAGCATCGACGTCCTGAAGATTCTTGCCCCTGAAAAAGCAAACTGGGACTGTAAGTGACCCTCCTTCCTGCCCCCTTCTCCCTACCTCGACACGCCCCCGCTCCGCAGCGCGTGTTGCCCCGTGGCGAAGAGAGACTCCAGAGGCGTGCAGAGGAGGAAATGACGCGTGCGCGCAGGCATCTCGCTCGCGCGCGCTCTCTCTGCCTCTCTCTCTCTCTCTCTCACTTTAAATCTCTCCACCATGCTGCACGCGCGTGCGCGAGAGAACGCGACGTGACAGACGAACCAAGCAGAAGCAAGGATGCCGCAGCTGACGCTTGCCGGGGAGGAGGAGGAAAAGGAGGAAACTCCCTCCCTCCCCCTCCCTTGCCATGACCCAGACGTGCGTGAAGCGGAGGGCCGTCTGCCCAAGCTATACGCCCATGAGGCCATTGAAGTTCCTGGCGCGAGAACCCTCCTCGAAGAGCTGAACAGGGACAGCGCCCCTTGGACCATCGTCACCTCGGGCACCGAGCCCCTCGTCACAGGCTGGCTCGGCGTCATGGCCCTGCCGCACCCCGACCAGATGGTCACCGCAGAGTCCGTCGAGAACGGAAAGCCGGACCCCGCCTGCTATCTCCTGGGCAGGCAGAGACTGGGGCTCGAGGGCGATGCCAAGCGCGTTCTTGTGCTCGAGGACGCGCCCGCTGGCATCAGGGCAGGCAAGGCCGCTGGCTGCAAGGTCATCGGTCTCGTAACGAGCCACACTGTCGATCAGGTCGCCGCCGCCGAGCCAGACTGGATCGTTAGAGACCTGTCCTCGGTCAAGGTGGTTGAGAGCAAAGACGGCGTCGTCACTCTGGAGATATCCAACGGACTTGTGCAGTAATAGCACGTCAGCCCTTCCATGGTCACGAAACCTCCGAGATGTAGACCGGCAGTACATGATCCTGTGCCATATGCCGGTGTCGCTGAGAACCTGGAAGTGTTCTCGCGCCGCCGGCTAGGTTACCGTGACCCAGCCACGGGCATCGGACCCAGATAGATAGAATCACACCCGGTCCCCGTATCACTTAGCTTGTACTACTTCGCCTCTGTCAGCTGGCTTCCCGATCCAGTTTGTAATACTCGAAGTGTGAGTCCTGCCCATGAAAGAGAAATACGATAACATCCCCTGCCCTATGTAACACGGTTCCCACATCTCCATGCTGTAACACAGAGGCGACATGATCGCCCAGCCGGACGGATGTACAGGTCGCAGTAAGGGAAGGCTAAAAAAACAAGGCTTCTAGACAAGGGCTTCGGGAACGGGATTACCATGCCATCACTGTAAAGAAAGGGAGGGCCAAAGAGTGTCTGCGTGGTATAGTCTCGCCTCATTCCGCCCCACGCTTCGGCAATTCGTGGTGTAAATCGGTAAATCATGACAGGATTGACGTTACCGCCGGATGCGCGTATCAAGCAGGCAAGCAAGTAACGCACCGAGGAGTCGGAATCCTGCACCGGGGCCTAGACTCCTCAGGCCACAGGGCCAGACTCCTTCGGACACCGCTTCTCGGTCGCACCGCGATACCGTGTCCCGCCCCTCCTCCTCGACGAGAGCTCACCTCTCGTTGCGCTTCTCGCACGGAATTCAAAAATTGGGTGGTGGTGAGCAGCCCTCAGCGCCCAGTACCAAGACCATGGCTGTGGCAAATAAAAGTTTGCGAGACCTTTGTCGAGGCGACGACCCGGACCGTTCAGCGTTGGGAAATCCGCCCCTCCAGCGGCCGGAGCTGCAAGGTCCCGAGGGCGGTGGTGACATCGGCCTTCTTCAGCCCGGATGTGCAGAGAGCGCGCGCTGGCTGAGTTGTCTCAATGGCAGCCGGGCGCCTGCATATTACCCCCCCCC